CACACACACACACACACACACACACGCTCACACACACTTTCTCCCAGTCGTTCCCTATGGCTATCATACATGTACTATAACACACAATTGTTACCAGGACGGGATAAGCAAATGCGGAGCCCTCTCACTTCCTTTGCAAAAGAATAGGCCCAGTAAGTATGTGTTCAATTTCCCATATCTAATGCTATTAATATGGCCAAGATCTTCACCAAGCCGTCTTTTATTGTCCATGTTAGCGGAAAGGTTGGAGGGCGCCACTGGTAGGCCCTCCTACATGTATACATCCGGCTTCTTTTCTCCCCTTTTGTTGTTTATTCTTTCTATCTGTCTTACTTTTCTCTTGCTCTATGACCGTCATTTATCGACGTTCTTCTTTTTACTCAACAAACAAACAAACAAACAAACCAACCAACCAACCAACCAACTAACTAACTAACTAACTAACTAACTAACTAACTAACTAACTAATCATGCTTGGAGCAGGATCTTTTGGCTACAGCAGTTACAGTTACACGTATTGATCTCTGTTTTCTGTTGGTTGCACAAGTTTACGGAACAAAACCACGTACCGTACAGTCGTACAGTAGCCCACCATGCTGTGGCCAAAGGCAAAGACCTTTCCGCACCGGTGCCCACGCAAGTACTAAGTAAGCTATACAAGATACAGACTCTCTCTCTCTCTCTCTCTCTCTCTCTCTCTCTCTCTCTCTCTCTCCCCTGGTGTCCCCGGCCCCCACTACTCAGCCAACAAGAAGTGAGACTGACGCCTCATGACGCCTGACCTGATAGTTCATATTTTTATCTGATCACGTTTTTGCACACGCGATCCTCGTCAGGCGACAATCGGCGACATTATCAGTTATCAGACCTAGGGGCCTAACGACATAATGGAGCTTGGGCTTAGGGCCGAATGAAGTGGCTTGGTAGGTTAAAACACCCACAAACACCCACCAACAAACAAAACAAAGCAAAACACACAAAAAAACCCAAACTCAAATAATAAAAACAATGAATATTATTATTACATCAACTTTCTACATTATTTCAAAGGTGCTTAGCCTACATTGGAAATTAAATATATATATAAAAAAAGGAAAACGATACATATAGACCCCTATCGATGCTACTCTATGTGAATGTAAAAATCAGATTTAAAAACATTATCGGGAAACAGGGGGATGAGAATCATGTAGAGATAATAATAGACCTGATATCTTTGTTTAAATGCTTCAAGTGTTTATTCTTGTAACACACAATTAATTATTATCAAACTGCGAATTGTTAAAGAAAAGTACCACAGATACGATTGGTACTCTTTGGTTTTGAAAATACATAAATGAAGCGTCCAATATTTACGGGAAACCGTCCAGAATTTGTCTCAGTCACTCAATTTCAACACCAATATGTGAATAAATTTTACCAAATAAAATGCAAATTTTCAGTTGGGAACATATAGATTTATATTTCCAATATAGTTAATGATTCAAAACGTAAACTATATTCGTGTACTAAGAATTCACGATGCTTTAAAATTAGAATCCCCCTTATCTACACTCGTCTTTACAGTAGTCCATAGTACTGCAGCAGCGACACCTTTTGTTTTGATCAGCTGCTACAACTCGTGATGACTGACTGAGGATGAGATTGCTGATTGCAGCTGAGACAACTAGAAAAGTCTGAATGTGATGTTCGTCTTTGATCAGATACACAACAGCGCTGCTTGCTTGTGACAACAGAAGTCTTCCTTTTTTTCTTTTGCGTCTTCCTTTAATTGTACAAACTATGCCAGAGAGGTAAGAATGGCACTTGTGAGTAACAACAATCGCTGTAATAATTTTAATTTTTAATGGACAACATTTTATTTGTTTTTGTTCACTGTGGTGGGGTATGACAAATCACTGTCAACGTCGTTATGACACTACCAATTATTCCAGTACTAATGAACCCTTCATATTTCATCTCCATGCCTTGGAATCCCATCGATATGTCGACATGGTTCAAGCTACTTCTGGTGCCTTCCGTAGTTTAGTTTACTTATTACACTACTTACTGGGCGCTTGCTTGCTGGATCATCATATTCATGGCAAAGCTTGTGGTTCAAAACCATTTCAAGTTCAAGTATGTTTATTTATAAAGTTGTCTTGCACAGAAGGCAGTTGTGTGCTTTTCAAGAAGTTGACAAAGGAGTTGTTTGTATAGTGTAGTGCCCCTCTTCAAGTTCAAGGACCAAGTCAATGACAGTTTGCCTTCCACTTTTTGCTGCTATCATGTTGTATCAGGATCTTTGGTTTTGTTTGAAATTCTATTGATCCACTCTAATGTTAGTGTGTAAACCTAAGTTTAGTAATAGCTCTTAGATCTAGTCTCTTTGACTTTCAAACATACTGTATTTTAGTCAGTAATCAAAGACAATAGTCAAGAGTCTCAATAGAACCCTGCCATTTACATTTTTTACAGTCAATGTGTATGCAAACATATATATAGATCTACTATGTAGGAATACATGGTGGCCCAAAGTTTAACTATAAAAGACTTTTGACTTGTAGCCTACTTGTAAATTAAAAATTGTCTCCATATATGATAGGCTAGCTAAGTTGGCCTACAGAAAACAAGAACAATTTAAAACAAAACATTTGTTTTATGGTACTCTGAATTTGTAGCCTAAATTATATTATATGCACTTCTTGATAGAGTTTCCTTGAATAAATTTACACTTATCTGTTCACTTTTGACAGATACAGAATGAGCAATTAAGGCATGGATGATGGTCTTGAAGCTAGGAGTTAGAGGGAGTTCTAGTTTTTAAGAAAGTACCAGTACATTTTCAGGGAAAATTTGAGTGATCAGAAAAAGCTCTCCAATTGCTTTATTTATCTTTACATTACTTTTATATTAATTATGTCTTTCCCCAGGTACATAATGGTTCATGAGGACTTTCTCTCGTAATAATGCAATTACAGCATTTTATGGGTGGCAAGAACTAGGTTATTTTAAGTTAAACGTTCTAATCTTTAGTCAATAAATGTTTTGTTTGGAGTTACTTGATAAAGATGAACCTCCACTCACAGTGCTTTGTCAACTTAGGGACATCATGACATCACACTTTTGATTTAGGAAAAAAAAATGACAAGTAGTTTCTGTTTGAATTTATTCTCGTTGTGCAAACAAAATGAACTGGGAAAGTAACTGAACTGTTACATGATGAGTCTTTGTGTATGTCCCCAGAAGATATGGCCCGGCCAGCTGACCGAATGAGGCTGAAAGACAGAATTATTGACAACATTTCCAAGGCTATCAAAGGGGTTTGTTACTTTTTTCTAAATGAACTGCTTTTCTATGTGGAAATATGTTGATAATGCTAAGTTTGTTTTGATTTTAGGTTTTATGTTCTTGATAAATGCATAGAAGACTTTTATTGAAGAGGGTTGCAATTATAAAAGTCTACACATTATAAACTCTTGCTATCTTTAACTTCTTACTCTATCCACCTTCCCCATGTAGAAGACTGAATACTTACTTACTACCCATTACGCCGTCTTGCGTTTAGGGCTGCAATAAAGGATCTCCAGCTCTGTCTGTTTTGGGCCATCTTGGTCGGCGTTCACCACGAATGATTCCAGGACTTCATTTCAGACTCTGCTGTGCGTCTCCAGGTCTCTTTGGGTCTGCCCCTTTTGTGACGTCCTTCGGGTGTCCAGTGGAGGGCAGTCTTCACAATAGAGTCTGGTTCTCTTCTCAGAACATGTCCAATCCATCTCCATCTTCTCCTTTTTATTATGGTGGTCATGTCCTCTTGCCTACATTTACGTAATAGATCTGCGTTGGAAATCTTGTTGGGCCAGAAGATTCTGAGGAAGACTGAATACACCGGCTCTTAAGGCCATCTGTCTAAGACAACATTGGCCTGTCCAAATAACCACTCCCCCTTCCCTCCTTGCTTAAAAAAAATATTGAAATACTGCCCAAGCTGTCCACTTAAGTTGGCCTCTCTCTACCTTTGTGTGTGTGTGTGTGTTTGTGTGTGTGTGTGTTTGTGTGTGTGTGTGTATGTGTGTGTGTATGTGTGTGTGTGTGTATTTGTGTGTGTGTGTGTGTGTATTTGTGTGTGTATATGTATGTGTATATATGTGTGTGTGTGTGTAATGGACAATTCGGACTGTATATTATTCTCAAAAGTTGTTTCTGTTCCTGCAGATTCAGGAGTTGCTCTACTACCAGAGCAAGGACCCTGTGGTGGCAGGTAGCCAGACAGAGAATAATGTGCTCACACTGGGCAACGGAGACCGGGCTTGTCACAAACTGTGTGAGAACCTGGACCATGCTCTGCTCCATGGGTATATTTTCTTCACTTTTTCATCCTATCGCCTCCTTTGAATAAAAAAAGATTGTAGCTTAGTTTTACGGCATTTGCAACACAATAAGGTCATATATAAGTGCCGAAGATTAGATGTGTTACAAGAGAGTAACAAACACTAAAAAAGGAGAGATCAGGAGGAGAGATGTTTGATTGGAAAGAAGGAGCAAACCTCAACAGAGCACTCGCCAACCACCCACAAAAAGATTTTAAAAATTCTCTTGTGTATTTTAAAGGGCACCGAGTCCTTTCAAGGCACTTTAGGGTGTAGCTCTTCTTGATTTCAAATGTTTCTTGCTCTTTTTTAAATTTCAAAATAAAAAAAAATTGATTAGTATCGGTGGCCTAATGGTTAGGCTACCGGACTTGTAATCGTGAGGTTGAAGGTTCGGGGGTTCGAGCTGCGGGCCCGACGTTGTGTCCTTGGGAAAGGCACTTTACACAAATTTTCCTTACTTCTCCTAGGTGGGAATGGGTACTCTGCCATAGACAGCGAAAGATCTTGTCAGTATCTAAGTGTTTTAGCGCCCATAAATGACAGCTTACACTGTATGCTCCCAAGGAAGTTGAGTTTGTTTCTGAATGCTCTTACGTCTGCTGGGGTAATAGTATAGATTGTGAAGGGCATAGAGCTTGCTGTTATGCGGGGATTTGCGCTATACAAATGCTATCCATTATTATTATTACATTTCTTTTATTCTTATCCTGCAGGCTAAAGTTTTACTACATCCGTTATTGTACCCTTTTTTCTTCAGGCTCAAGAATGTAACCCATGGCTATTGGCGCATGGTCAAGCAGCTCTCTCACAAAGGCATGGTCAAAGAGATAGAGTATTTGACCAATGTGACCACTGATCTTGGGAAAGGTGAGTGCTTCGGGGTTCCCACGGCCTCCTTGAATTCAAGGAGTCCTTGAAAACTCCTTGTATTTGCGCTCAAGGAAAAATCTCCTTTAAAAACTCCTTGAATTTTGCCTGATCGCACATGAATGAAGATTTTGTCGAACAATTTAAACTACGATTCCTTTTGGACAAGTGTAGGCCTATTGGAAATTCTCCTTGAATTTATAAAATCTAAAATTTCTCCTTGAAACCTCCTTGACATCTCCTTGAATTTGATGGGGGAGTTCATGGCAGGAACTGTGGCGTACAGTAGGGAAGGGCCTTGTTATTGGTCGCGCTTTACAATATGTGAGTTGTGCTGACAAAATGAGTTACTTCTCGCAGTCCACAAATGGAGATGTTGATCAAAAATTGACACTATAGGGTCAAATTTGTAAATTTTCTATAGATGCCATATTCTTTAAGTATAACACTCCTTTTATTTCGTACCTATAAATTGTAAAAACTTCACCTATAAGTGTGATGTGTCTATTTCCTTAAGGCCTGAATTCGAGAAGTAACTCATTTTGTTAGTATGCTTCACATATTGTTGTTGTGTCTCCTGAATTGGGAGAATTCTCAGTATACCATTATACGCTGTTGGACTGGGAATGTAACTTTTAGAGATATTAACCCTTCCAGCCCCATGCGCGTATATTTTCAACAGTGCTTGTACCTCTCACCATCCCAAGAGCTTATATTCTCAGCTTCGAGGGGTTCCGAATTCGCGCGTTTTTAAAAATTAACGAGCCTAATTAAACTTTAATTTTCATAATATATGTTCAATTACCTTTAAACGTTTTAATAAGTTATTATTTAAACCTCATTACAAAGATACTACATCACTTTTTAGAATGCATGCCTCTTTTTCTGAAATACTGCTGTATTGGCTGGGACTGGGGTTAGGGAGTGCACAAAAATGGCGGGGCTGGAAGGGTTAAATGCCATCAAATGCTTGCTAAAACAAAAGCTTTGAAGTGTTATGGTAATTATGTGTCAGTTGCCAAATGCATTGTTGACAAAAAATCAGTTCTATATCTGGCTAAAACAGCACTTGGACATCTATGACTGGTGCCTTTATAAATAAGTTATTGATGGTAGTCGGTTCAAAATTTAAAAAACTGTATTTGCATTTCATGGTTTATTTTAGATATTAATGGGATTTCCTTGTTATCATCAGGGCGAGCTTGGCTGTACGCGTCTTTGAACGAAGGACTCCTGGAGAGCTATGTCCGGCTGCTGGGGGAAAATGAGAAGCTGGTGAAAAAGTTCTACGCCAAAGATGCTCTGATGCTGGATGGAGATGTGAGTGGAGTGCTTGGTGTAGTGCTTATTTTTTGAGTGGCTTCCTTTTTGTTGGTACCTGTCAGCTGAAGTCATTTCTGTTTTTAAATTACTAAGATGAATATTTGGAGGGATATTCTTTTGGTCAGAACACAACATTTTATGTAACTGTTGTACTTTGTATTGTATTGTAGAGCGCTCAGAGCCTGTGCACTTTAATCTGGGTTGAGCGCTTTGTAAATGTCATTTATTATTTATTATTATTACCTCAGGGGAGCTGGGTTTTTTTTTTCATTTTGTCCCTCCCCCCCCTATTTTCCGTTATTTGTGTTATTTTCAGTAGATAAACAGTTATTATTTTAGGCATTTATTTTATGTTTCAACCCCGTATTAGTTGAGATTAGCTAGGTCTATTAATTGTCTTTTTGTATTCAAATGCGACTATGTAAATTTTAAGGTATTTTCACAAAATGTGCTGCGGGCATGAGTAGTATTGTTTGATATCCTGACTAATCCATCAATATCTACTGTCTGTTTAATGACCTTGGGATTTTGGAAGTGTTATGGCTTTCGTAAGGTCTTAAATGTTTTTCCCTCTGGCAATAGGGTACAGTTTTGAATGTTATACAGCCACTTTCTATCTGAAAAACTTGCTGCTTCCTACTTTCAAAAGTTGCTCTGGATTATTGAAAAACCTGTGTTAATATTAACGTTTTTGGAAACTCTTTGTTATGATTGAGAAAGCGGACATACATAGATAAATGTGATTTTCTTTATATGTAATTGCTCTGTTTCTTTTGCATTTTTGTTTTTCCAGAGAATGAATGTCATGCTGACCCTGGTCTCTGGGCTGGATTTTGTGGTGTTCCGTTTGGAATATGTGAGTAATTATCTTACATTATCGTGTCTCCTATCACGACCTCAGTGCTTTCTTGTCATATCTCCATTTTTTTTAAACGGTGAAAATGTGACTTCTTTGTAAGCTCGCTCTTTGTTATGAACTGTTTTCACTGTTATTAAAAATGGAGATGCGACTAGAAAGTACTGAGGTCGCGATATGTTATTCGTCAAGACCATTTCAATGTTTATGGTTTCCCATCATGTTTGGGAGGTTTTTTTTGGGTCGCTTTTAAGGACAAGTGAGCTAACCCAGATTTCAGGGGTTTCCAGAAACCTTTACCTAAACCAAAAGTGGACATTGCCTTACCAATAGGAGAAGTTTGATTTCATTGGTGTGTATATTTGTTTGGTTATAGAGAGCATACTGTAGAGCATGGATTTGTGCTATATATAAGTTTAGTCATTATTATTATTATTATTATTATTGTTATTGTTATTATTGTTCTTACATGTTATTACTGTTTTTGAAGTACAAATGAACAACACTGTTTGGTGAAATGTGTTCGCAGGACCTGCCCTACCTGGACTTGAGTGCGTACCCTCCCCGTAGCCGCACAGACTCGGAGCTAGAGGGCGACATTCGGTCGACTTTGCCTCCTGTGCTGAGGTCCGACAGCTTCAGGTCATCCTCAGAGGTGAGTAGTTGTTCGTTGCGACAGTTTGGTTCACAAGCTTTGTCTAGGCTGAACAGCAGGAATTGCCCCAAAAAGTTTTTGTGTCAAAAAAATAACTTGAAATTTATTTTTGGTTGCTTTTCTATAAAGTCTCTTTAATGACTTATCTGTTCAATTATAACATTTTTTGAAAGTGTGTTTTTAAATCACGGTTTTTAGCAATTTTAGAAAACGTGTCTATTCTCTCTCTCTCTCTCTCTCTCTCTCTCTCGCCCTTTTTAACTCCCAGTGGAGCACAGGCCATCAACAGCATTACTCCAGCGAAGCCTGTTCTGAGCTTCCTTTTCTATCTGTTTCCATGATGTCCCCGCTTTTTCAATTTCCGCTTGTACCGCTCGCCTCCATGTCATCTTTGGTCTTCTCTTCTTACGTTTTCCTTGTGGGTTCCACGTCAAAGCCTGCCTGATGATGCTTGTTGGGGGTCTCCTCAGGGTGTGTCCTATCCGTTTTCATTTCTTCACCTGTATGTCTTCTTTTACTGGCCTTGGCTTGTTCTCTCCCACAGTTGAGCATAAGTGACTCGATCGTGTCTGTTGCCATGTAGATATCAGTCACGTCTTTGATGGCGAATATACGCAGTGTTTTTTCTCAGACAGCAGTGGAGCATTAATAATAATACATAATAGATAGCATTTGTATAGTGTAAACCCCCGCTCAACAGCAAGCTCTATGCGCTTCGCAATCTATACTAGATCTATTACCCCAGCAGACCTGAGAGCCTTCTGAAACAACCTCAATTTCCTGGGAAGCATACAGTGCAAGCAGCCATTTATAGAAGTTAAAACACTAATATACTGACAAGATCTTTCACTGTGTATGGCCGGGTACCCATTCCCACCTAGGAATTCCAATATATTGAAGTGTGATTCATTTAGTGAAATATCATCGTATTCTTTTGAAATTGTTGTCAATAAATGACAGGGAATTTTGTGTTCTTTTTAAATGTTAAAAAAACACAAATTATGAAATGTGTACCTAGTGGATCATACTTTCATGACTCATCATACTCGTTCACATGGGGCTTTGTTTTTCTTCATATCTCACTCATAAGAAGGAGAAAATTTAAAGAAACCTCAAACTTTTTTGTCAAATGACTTTTTTGTCAAGGGAACATAAGCAGTGCCAGCATAGAGCACATGCCACTATCCGTACCATTCTCACAATTACTTTTCTGACAAGTTTGTTGGTCAGAACACAACGTTTCATGTTACGGTTGAAGAGTGAAATGTTCACAGCTAAAGGGATTTGAAAACAACAACAACAGCATGTTACTGTTGTATTGTATTGTAAAGCGTTTAGAACATGTGTAATATAATCAGGGTTGAGCGCTATATAAATGTCATTTATTTTTTTAATCAGTATTATTACTACCCATTTGTTGCCGGGCGAAGTGAGGGTGATAGGGTACTGCTTCTTTTAATTATTAGTTGTTTTTGTTTGTTTGTATTGTTACAATCTGTCCCTGGCCAAGTGTGGCATTTAGTGCACCGGTGCTCTGGGAAGTATTTCTCTAGCGTCATCACTTTTAAGATATATGATATTGATTTTGCTGTAATTGTAGGCTATGTTAACTCTTTATTTCTCTCATGTAATTGTGTAATGCGACCTTCCTATTCCAATCCTATCATTGTATGAAGTGACCTCCCTGTTCCAATCCTGCAATTGTATGCCATGTAAACTCCCTATTACTATCCTGTAATTGCATGCAATGTATACTCCCAATTAGAATCAAGTAAGGGTAGACTATGTAACTTCCTTTTTCCTATCCTGTATTTGTATACCATGTAAGCTCCCTATTACTATCATGTCATTGTATGCGATCTAAAAACTCCCAATTAAAATCCTGTAATGATATACTATGTAACCTCCCTATTCCAATTGTTCCCAGGTGGCCGTTGCAAGTTCCCCGGACTCCACCACCCAGCTACCCAGCGACTCTGACTCGACGAGCGCAGCCAGCCTGGACTTCCTGTCTCACGCTGACAACAGCCACATGAGAGTGAGCATGGCGTCTGTCGACTCGGGCTTCCCCGCCGATGGCACTATGGGTAACTTCCCTTTCGCCAATGCCAGACAACGCAGCGTCACGCCCACCGATGCGCATCTTTTCAAAGAGCGGAGCGCCACTCCGACTGACGCGGCTTCCGTGTCGTCTTTTGGCTCGGCGGGAGATCCTGACCGGCACCAGAGGTTGGAGAGTATACGGCCGGGGGTGGAGGAGGACGCCGACGGAGCGGATGATTCTCTCGAGGTGATTCGCGTCATCAAAAAAGGCAAAAATGGCAGTGGGAAAGGGAAGAAGAAGAAGCAGTCGTCTGTGAAAAAGCAAGGGAGTCAAAACGGGGTAGGAGGCAGTGTACCGTCAGATACTCCAGGAAGCCTGTTGTCTCAAAGTATGGATGCTCGGCGGCTGTCAGAAACGGGTGACAAATCGAGAGCGAGCAGTGTGAGCAAAACGAATCCGTCTACCAACAACGGTGCTCAGGAGGATGCGGTGAAAAACTTTGTTGTGAGCTCCGGTCGGGACGTGAGTCCGTCGTCAGCCTCTAGTCCCAGTCCCGATGCCGACGCCGAAAAGGTGAACGCTGCAGCAGATGCGGAGTCGTCGAGACTGCCTCAGTTTGATTCTGGCGTTGACATCTGTGGGCTGACGGGTCAGAGACTCAGCAGCGGGAGCTCACCGTCGGCGGAGAGAGGAGACAACGCTGTTGCTGCGGTGACCACCAGCTCTCGCGTGGGTGATTCGGCCGTAACTCGAGACAATCCGACGACTAGTCACAGGTCAGCTCTGGCGGAGATTGAGAGTAAAATCGCGGAAATGTGCAATGGATATCCAGGTTCTAGTCAGGATAAAATGCCTGGTGGTGGTGGTGAGAATAATGTGAACAGAACAAAGCAAGCCACACCTCGTCATGAGGCCAATGGTTATACGAGACATACAGGGGGAGTCATGTCAACAGACCCTTTTGCTCCCCAGTTCGGTTCAGACAATATCGATGGCTCGACCAATCGTGCGTCTCCGCACCTGCCTTCTCAGCTGAACGCTGTCTCATCCAGCAGTTCGGCACAACATTCTCAGCAGGGCAGAGACGCGGCTCACAGCAAAACGGCGGGCTCGGTTAGTTCCCACGACGGAAAAGCAGGCGATCGGCAGGGGAAGAAACAGGAAGTGCTCTCGGACCAGGACGATGATTTTGATTTTTATTCTAGTCACAGTGCAGATAGGGAAACCCCGAAAGACACGGATAAGTCTTCAAAGGGGGGTAATAAATCGGAGATGACCACGCTACAAGAGTCGTCACAGCTTCAGGTTAGTTGTGTGGTGATTTTTTAATGGTTTTTTTGCTCTCGCTCTACATTCAGCTTTTCAATGTACGTATTGGCAGCTTGATTACAAGCTTGCATCGTCTCAAAAATATTTTAACCCTATCCGTATGCCCTGGGGTCATTTTGTACCCACGGGTTGTATTCTTCATAAATAGAATACTTCTAGTTAAGTACAAAGATCTCTTTGAAACTTTCAGTATTTCTCAAAAAATCATTTTGACAGACTTCTGTGCAAAGCATACGGATCGGATTAACGTGTAAATTTCCTCTTTGGAAGTGGTGGCACTGAGTTCCCCACATCTTATGGATACGATAGTAAAACACAACGTACGGATAGGGTTAAGGAAAAATAAAAAAAGATTTTATTTATGCTCCCCCGAAGAGAAACGGTTTCTGGAATGTAAGTTTTTTTGTCTCAGAAATAATCCTGAATTATTCACTGTGTACGCTCAATCTGTGTGCGCCTGCGAGTCTGTTCCGGAATGATTTGCCTGCTCACTCCTGTTCTTCAGCGTGCCTGCTGTCCTGTTCATTTGTTCACATTTTAGGCCAGTTGTTCATGTTGGTTTGTCCTTGCAATTGTTGTAAAAGAGGTTTAAGCATTTTTCATTATTTATTTGTTTACACTTCGGTCTCCAATTATTATGAGTTTGGTAAGATGTTTTTATTATTTACTTGTTTGTACCACGGGCTACTGACAATAGTGTCTTTAGGCCATTCCCAAAGGGGGGACATTACCATGTTCTGTTGCACAGTAGAAATATAAATAGGCTGATTCATCAATGTCATGCTCAAACTTGCCGGAGTTGCAACAGGGAACTGTTGCTTTTTCTTTCCTCATCCTTACTATCCTCATTTTCTTTCTTCTTCTTTTGTTTGTTTATTTCCGGGGTGCCTTGATAGTAAGTTGATAGTCGAAGCAGGCGAAACCAGGCGACCTCACTTCCTTCAATCGCAAATATTTTGAATTCTGAATTCAAGATAAATGGATATTTATTTCATTGGAAGCAAGGCAAATAAATCAGCTTTCAGGTGATACCGATAACTCCACGTGCCCGAAAATTAACAAGCGCCTGTTTCCACCACGTCATAAGTCATGACACATTTATTAATTATGTGTGTTCTGTCAATATCATTTCTCATCTAGGACTCCCTCCCTCACAGAGTGCCTTGTTGCGTAGAACACCGCGTGTTGATTTGTCTTGTGACATAATTACAGGTGAAATTATCCAAGATGGCTGACCATTGTCAAAAAGAAAAGTGGGTGCCTTACACACTGTCGATATAACGTTAAAAAAAAAACGCAAGGGGGAAAATGGGAAGTGGCAGTTTGTATTGGTATTGGTGATTTTCTTTTATAATACAGGTATCTGTTAGAACAGGTTCGACTATATTTTTTGTGTGGAATGTGAGTTGCTTTTTTAAATTGTTGCACACGACATGCGTGATGAAGGTACCTATGTGAGTGGTTTGCGGGTGCTCTGGTGTAGTCTGCCTCTTTTATCCATTCAAACATCTATCGTCCTTATCACTCCTCCTTTTTTTGTGTTTGTTACTCTCTTGTAACACCTGTAATCTTCAGCACTTATATGACCTTATTGTGTTTTCAAGTGCCGTAAAACTTTTACTAAACCTACACTCTCTTCTAACACCTGTAATCTTCGACACTCATATATCACCTTATTGTGTTTGCCAGTGCCGTAAAACTCTTACTAAAACTAAAGGAAGGTACGTACATTTCTCTGGGCAGGACTACATGGACTACATCCTGAAAGGTTCTGACTCCCCAGAGGCTGTCAGTTCACATCCCGTGGTGGAGAAAGTGGAAGAGCCGGAGCTGTACCTCAGGTGGGGAAGTGGGTTGTTGGCGGGTGCTCTGGTGTGGTTGCTTTGCTCCTTCTTTCTTATCAAACATCTATTGTCATTATCTCTCCTCTATGTCTCTTCTTTCCATATTTTTATCTTGTAACACCTGTAATCTTCTGCACTTATATGACCTAATTATATAGTAATTGTGTTGCAAGCGTTGTAAAATTTATAATTATCCTATCAAGCATTTGTCATTATTATCTCACCTCCTTCTCGTCTTTGTTACCGTTAGTAACGACTCTTATCTCTTGCACTACTTATAATATGACCTAATTTAATTGTATTACAACTGACTTTAGTGGGTGGTTGGCAGGTGCTCTGGTGTGGTTTGCTCCTTTTTTCCTATCAAACTACTTTCCTCTGTATCTCTCCTCCTTCTTTTTTATGTTTGTTACTCTCTTGTAACACCTCTTAATCTTCTGGCGCTCATATGATCTTATGCAGTTGCGAGTGCCGTAAAACCTCTACCATAACTAAAATTAAAAACTTACATGACCTAATTGTATTACAAGTGCTGTAATACTCTTACAACTAAAACATAAACCTCTCAACAACTGACTTTAGTGGGTGGTTGGCGGGTGCTCTGGTGTGGTTTGCTCCTTCTTTCCTATCAAACTACTATCGTCCTTATCTCTCCTCCTTCTTGTTTTATGTTTGTTACTCTCTTGTAACACCTCTAATCTTCTGGCGCCCTTATGATTTTATGCAGTTGCGAGTGCCGTAAAACCTCTACTATAAATAAAAAACGTACATGACCTAATTGTATCACAAGTGCTGTAAAACTCTTACTAAAACACAAACCTCTCAACAACTGACTTCTTCTCCTCAAACTACTATCCTCTTTATCTCTCCTCCTTCTTTTTTATGTTTGTTACTCTCACTCTTGTAACACCTCTAATCTTCGGCACTACTTACATGACCTTATTGTGTTACAAGTGCTGTAAAACTCTTACCAAAAGATAAATAATAATAATAATAATGAAGATCATTTCTCTAGCGCCCACTCCCGTGTAAACACAGCTCTAGGTGCTTTACATAAATGCATGTACGAACTATATTCACACACACACACACACACACACACACACACACACAAACTCATCTACATGCTTATCACACGTGCACGCGCACACTTACACATCGTAATGACATGAGCACATACGCAAACATGATAAAATAATATACACCATGCAATTCTCAAAATACATAAATGGATACATAGTCATTTACAAACCATTGTACTGAAACATGATAAACCTCTCAACAACTCACCTTTTTTCCTTTCCACCCCCCAGTCTGGACAACAACACCAAGCTTCACGTCATGTTGGAGATCTTCACACAGGAGGATGAGCACTTCATCAAGGTCAGTTGTGTGTGTGTGAGGGGGTGTGTAGGTGTGTGTGGGGACCTTCCAGAAGTGTGTGTGTGGGTGTGTGAGGGTGTGGATGGATGTGTGTGTGTGTGTGTGGATGTGTGTGTGTGTGTGTGCTTGGTGTGGGTTCAAGC